GCCATTCAGACCGAAAAGGCACAGGAGGTGGATCGCGCTCAGATCCAGCAGCTGCGGGAGCGATGTGAGCGGCAGGCCCTGCAGCTACAGACTCTGCAGGCTCAGTTAAAGAAAGCCTCGCTGTGCCTGGATGTTTTCAGCATCACTACCCAGCACTTCTGTCACAAGGTAAGATTTAGCAGAGTTCTGCAATCCTGGCCTGGTCGACCGCAGACTTGGAAAGCCGAGTAAGAGTGCAGTGTTCCAATTCTTTCACTCTTAATCCTAAAATAGGACTACGTGTGTATGACACATGTGATATTAATGCTGTGACTTTATTTCATTCTCGTTAAACCTCCTCCTGGGGTAAAAGAGAAAATATACAACATCATCATTATCAAAAGGCAACATAAATAAAAATATTTGTCAACAAATCACCCATGTCCAACTACAGGTGTCCAAATGTCTGTATAAAATTTAGCAGTTTTACACTGTATAACAATATCCTTATTATTAAATATTACACCATCCTAATAACATTTGGTCTCGACCTAAAATACACAGGCAGATATTTTTTGTCTTTGTAAATTAAAATTACTGCATTAATAATTGAAGCTAAACCAGTATTTGATGTATTTGAGGAATTTGATGTTTTCTTGCATAAAAATCTTGGAGTTTTAGTTGAGAATTATGAAAAGAGAGCTTGCTTGTTGCTGCATGACTCTGTAACAGTAACATATCTCGATATGTAGCAGCATTCAAACAATTCTGTTAAAATCACCCTGCAAGTTTGCTTTAATGCGACACAGAACAGGTTCCTCACTAAAGTTGCATCCTTTGCAATACGTTTGTAGATTCATCGTGTTACTGAACGGCAGTGTTTTGTAGGGTTGCAGTCAAAAACTGCAATGCAAATGTTGCAGTGAGCTCCAGAATGCGATTACACACTGTGTTGCAGTCCTTTGCACAAACCTGTAGCTTCTGTCTTTTGTTGTCAGGATTGCTTTGTTCACAAAGGGAGCCGCTTGCTTTAACCCTCTTGTGACATCTTTTGAGAATGACTCTAAAGGCAGCCTCTTTTGATAGTTGGTAGTGAAATGCTGAGGATTTCCAAAGGTGCTTTTTTCTAGTATAAAGAAAGAGAATGCTTTTGGCATGTGTTGTGGGTTTGTATACATGGAAGTATATTGGCATGCATTTGATAGGGGGGTGTGGTATATCTTGTTGTGTCCGTTCTTCTGGTGCTGCTGCTGGATGGGCGACTCGGTGGAATCGAAACACATTTGATATTTAATATTCTTTTTTAATCACTCTTGCTTTTCCTGTATGCTGCTCAGATGAGACTGACAGAGTGTTCTCTGTTCTTCCAATTTTTATTCAGCACTTGCTTTACCCTTTCCTAGTCCTCTGTTTGCATTCAATATATTTGTCAGCCCCACCCGCTGGTGGTGCTCTACAACCAAAGATTAATGAGATTAGAGCTGCCTGTATGGCCTGCCTCTGCTTTTGGTCAGACTGATTGCAAGACAGAATCCCCTCTAAATTTTAACAGTGGATCTTTCCAAGCATTTCTACCATCTACGCCGTTGCACATGGGTGCATACTCTGTTTTAGGATGCGTGACAACATATGCTGATGTGGTTTAATTATGTTGTAATGAGTGCATTGAAGAGGTCACTAGATGGTTAATATTGGGTTAAGCTAGCTGATTTGAAGTGTTTTTGTGCTTACTGAATGAGGTATTTGTGCATATAGATATTTTTGCAGGACAGTTTTTATTCAAATCAGTGTTTTGGTTTCTAATGAAGTGTGTTTGTTCTGTTATGCACATCAGTGTCTGTAGATATGATCTTCCAGCTGAGCATCAGAGCTTATCATTCTCTACTCACTGATCATCTCCCTCCCCATCTTCTTTTGCTAAATTTTTTTCTCATACATGCAAAAGACTGTGTGTGTGTGTGTGTGTGTGTGTGTGTGTGTGTGTTGTTCCCTTCCATCCATGTGAATGTGATACGGGGCGTGTTGGTGGGGGTTTAAGAGGAAGGCAGGCAGAGCTGGGCTGGGGCCGGCAGTCTTTGTTCCAGCAGGGATAAATGATGGTCGCGAACCAGGAAACGAGGTGAGGCTTTGGTCTTTCCATCTCTCCTCCCCTCTCTTTCCCTCCCCCTCTGTCTCCCTTACTGTTTCTTTCTGGAACTTGCATCTGTCACTGCTGCCTCCCGAGCCGGCTAAGGGATGCTGCTGCTATCTGCTAGCCTAGTATGGGCCACTGCTGCTGTAGGCTCCATTTCTTCCGTCTGTTCTGTCTCGACCAAACGGTAAAGTCAGTCAGTGTTCTGCAGGCAGCGAGCTTGTTTCAGCACAGAGGATGCCTCTATGTATGTGTGGCTGCTCGCAAGTGTTTAGTGTTTGGGGGGGGTCTATTTATATGATGATTATGTTCACTTGTTTGCTAGAGACAGAGCCTGATAGACAATGTAAAGCTGTGCATGATTATGCTGAGTCAAAGCAGGCTTGTCTTTCTCACTGAGCATGCTTCTTTCATTTCATAACAGTTTGCAGGGACATACGATATAAAATGCCATTGCTACTGTGCTGTATGCTGATTTTTCTTTTTTTGGTGTTTTCATTGCATCCTTTTTATATCCCTACTGGTTAACTGGGTTTATTATATGTTATTATATATTATATATACATACATGTATATTATAGTTTCCTGTGTGTTAACTATGCACTCCTCTGCTTGGGACAAAGTCTAAATAAAAAAAACAGCTGCACACTGAAAGCTGTTTGTGGTACCACTAATTAGATCAACTAACTTAGTAATATTTTGTAATATACTTAGTAATATACTGAAAGCTGTTTGTGGTACCACTAATTAGATCAACTAACTTAGTAATATTTTGTACTCTAGTGAAATTATTGTAATAATAACTTGATTTATTAGATTAAAGTAATACAGACTGAAAAATGTAATTAATACAGAGACATTAATAAAAAAAAAATATAGAAAATTTGTTTAGGCTTCTCTAATTTGAGAACTTGGTTCTTTTTTTCTCTTCTATATGAGTGGAAACAGGATATTGTTCATATCTGAACTTTTTGAGGGGTTTTGGTTCATTATGATGGTCATTTTCTATATTTGATGATTAATAAAGGAGCTTGTAAAAATAGCAAAACAGTGTAACTGATAAAGAAAACCATCGTGATGAGCATCCTAAAGATGGATTATATGAAGATCATATGGGGAAATTAGAATGCATGTCACATCACTCCCCAGAGATTTGAATTGAATGTCTTGTGGGCAGGACCGTGGATCGATGGGTAGGAGCAGAGGTGGAGCTAAAGCGTATGAAATGAAAAAGCAGCTGACCCTCCTGAGGTCACTGCAGAGACTTCTTGATGACTTCATGTTCCCAGTAAAACCTCTTAGAGGGTGACATCATGACTGCTGTGACATACTGTTTACTGTCTCATACATTTTTCACCTGCCT